GTGGACTTGTTTTAATTGTCTTTAACTTCAAGTGGAATTTGCATATGAGCAGTTGATGGTCTGTTCCACAATCAGCTCCTGGCCTGGTTTTGGCTGAAGTTATTGAACAAACTAGACTATGTCTCAATTAACCACATTTGTTTACAATGAGAACCACAACTGCCATAAGGATCAGAGTGCTCATGTCAGCATACCCAGTACATGTTCTCCCTGCAGGCCAATCGAGATGGGAAGGCAAATGACAATCAGAATGTGACTTAATGAACAAGGAGAGTTGTGTGAAACAATGCTTAAATGGCTACAGGGTAAATGGCAGCCTGGCATGTCCACCTATGCAGCAAGAATTTACCAATCACAATAACAGGAATGGTCTGCACTTTTGTACATTATTTGGATAGAAATTGCCAAAGTACATGTCCCTAACTTTCTCTTATGTCTATAATCAAATTCTGTCCAAACCTTTCTCTCCTGACTTATTCAGCCTTTTGATTAACTATATTAATATCTATACCATGTCATATTCTCCCTACCAGCTTTTCTGAAACATCAATGTCCTGGCTCTGAACCATTTTTGGTAATTTTGGAGTTTACTGATTAGAGAGAAATCTTATTGCCAAGTCCCTAGGTGATGAAAATTGTCTCACTGTTGTTCCTATGCATGTATCAACTATACTACTTTACTATGAGTTCTGCCACTTGTCCCTTATTAATAAGTAGATTAAAACTATTTCCATCTTATCCTTCAAAGTCTATCCTTTAAGACTCAGGCCCCACTCTGTCCTGGCCTCCACAAGAAGAATGTCCTTACAACATGTTATTTATACTAGTTATTGTTAATGTTAATTGTCATAGAGTCAGTTTTGACTCAAGGTGACCTCATGCATGCAGAGTAGAACTGCTCTATACGTTTTACAAGGCTGTGGACTTTCAAAAGTGGATCACCAGGCCTGTCTTCCAAGGTACCTCTCAAAGCAATCCAAACTCACTGCCACCAAGTTGATTCCAACTAACAGTGACCCCGTTGGGTTTCCAAGGCTGAAAATCTTTACAGACACAGATTGTTTCATCTTTCTTCTGTGGAGCAGCTGGTGGGTTCAAATCCCTGACCTCTGGATTGACAAATGCTTTAACCCCTTCACCACCAAAGCTCATCTGAGTCACCTCTCAAACCAAAAAAAAAACCAAACTCACTGTCATTGAGTCAGTTCCGATTCATAGGCACCCTTATTGGGTTTCCAAGGTGGTAAATCTTTATGAAATAGGTTGCCCCATCT